TACCAATGTTAAAAATAAAACTTTCAGTTGTATTTTTAAATATAGAATTTCCATTATTTAAATTCCAATCAAGTGGAAATATGGAAAGAAGAGAAGAAGACGGAGAGAAACGGAGGCGGATATGAAGGTGGAAGTGAAGATGAAGGTAAATGTCAAAGTGAAGATGGAGATGAAAAATGAAAGTGAAAATGTAGGAAGAAAATAGAGGTGGAAGTGGAGATGGAGATGGATGTGAAAGTGAAGGGGAAGGTAAAGATGAAATAAAGCGCAGATGGTGTGCAAAATAAAAGAGGAGATAGTGGTGGAAATGAAGATGGTGGAAGTGAAGCTATGCTATAACTTTTAAATAACTATTAAGGAAGTGATGAAATGCTAACTAAAGCCGCCTAATAAAATATGTAAATTAAATTACAATTAGTTAATTCTATCAATTTTAATGTCAAGAGCAAATTATTATTCACATACTTTTTACTTTCTGACAACATTATCCACAAACCAAACTAATATTTCCAGATAGTATTCCACCTATGGTTAATTGGCAATGATAATATAACAATATATTTAATATATCAATTTCAAACATATTGATTTATCAATAGAATTTGTATATATCATTAGTATTATTTAATATGATACTTACTGCCATGTGAACCCTTTTATTCTATAGGCCAAAGTTGGGTTAACGCCTTGCAACAAAACCTCAGGAAGAGGCAGCTTTTTGCAGTTCTGTTGGAGGCAACTGAGATGGCAACCAAACAGCACACAAAACCCAACATTGGCTGGCAACAGAATGTCTCTTTTTTACTTTACGTGACCTTTTATAAAAATAAGAAATGAATAAATAACAACAGAAATAGTTACCAGAATGAGTGAATTTTTGGTTATTATTACTTTATAATAATAATAATAATGATTATGTTGATAGCATAATGGAAGGTCTTGCCGTCGAAAGCCTCAAAGATTCTTGCTGTTTCTAGAGTCTGTTGAGAGAAAAAAATAATAATAATATGAGTAAACATATTATTTATTTATTATTTATGAAATAGGGGTAAAAGTAAACAATACATTATTAATCAAATCCACCAAGGAAATCATCATTTACATCATTAATAATTTTTCGCGTATCAAAATCCTACCCAATGTCCTATTGGCTAATTGATAATATCTTTTATATCTTTTATAAAGAAAGATTTTTGTATTTTTTTGTAACGATATCGTGTCTTTACTATTAAACTTACCTTGACTTCATAAATCATTAAATTTTTTAGATAAAAACGCGTTATTTTATTTGTTATCAAATAAGATAAATGAGGATACATTATGCTTTGTATTTTTTAGGGACAATCGAATCAAAAATATACAATAAAGGGAGTGATACAAGAGGGCGGGCGGGAAATTGATCACCTGAGGAATAGATAATTTTGGTAAGCTGATAATAGTTGGTGGATGGCTTTGCTATCATTCATACATTTGCAAGACAACTCTTTGTAGATCTCCTAATTCCTCTAAAAATGGATCTTTTCAATGTATTATATAATTCAATGATTCAAATTTATGCTAATCCTAAAATTGATGTCAATATTAAACATGAATTTAGCAGGTTTTTCAATTAACTCATCATTGTCATTCTTGACGCTATAAATACTTTTATCGACACCTTTAACATCTTCGCGAACTTGAAGCAGCTTGCCCAAAGGAATTAAAGACTTCAATTCCCAATGCTCAGTTTTTTGTCGATTCAGTATATGGCAGTAAAGATACCACATTCTTGGCTCATTATGTTTATTATGCATTCTACTTTGGAATTCCCGACAGAAAAGCCCTTTGCACACGTGACGAAAATGGTATATTTTTTTTGTTATCATTGATCGTTATTATAGGGAAATATTGATTTAATACTAATTAATAATCTACTTAATTCATTAATTCAGTATATAATAATAGACTTTTGCATTCTTAAATTCTTGAAAGAATTCTTTATTAAGTTGGAATATCAATATTTATCATTCCCACGTTTAATAGATATTTCGTTTGATCTCCGACTTATCCACACAATTGCCAACGACAAGCTCATTCTACCAGACAAACTAACTTGCAATAAATGCATTCAAAAAGGATTGAAACACTATTTCCATTGGCTCTTTAATTATCCATTGCTTCATGCTCGCAAGCTCACTCTCGATGCTGTAGAATACGTTAATTCATTTTCTTGTATAACTAGTCATTACAAATAAATCACGAGAATAAATTATTAGATTTAATAATAATAGAAATGTAGTTTTCTCATTAACATATATACACTTGTTATTATTAATATTATTCACCATAGTCCTAGCACTAATAAAGAAAGATTCATTTAATTTTACCAGACTAATTTACTTTGTTAACAACTTATGACGCGAAATTTTCTTTCTTATCAAATTCTTTAATAAAATAATAACAATAATAATTCTAATAATTATCAGAGAAAAATGCTTGCATTATCCTGAATATCGTGACCTGAAACTGAAATTG